ATATGTTGTTGTTTGTTTCTTAAATTAAGAAACCTTCACGCAATATATCTATATAGCATAATATGCTATATATATGTCGTTGCTTCGTTTTCAAAAACCACGCAATACATCGTATATCAATATAATATGTTTTCATTTCTCTCTTGAAGTCGTGTTTACACTACAAGCCTTCGCCTGGCCTTGGCCTACATTTTGGCAGTGTAAAGTGTAAACAGACTTTGGTCTAGCCTTGGCCTGACCTATAGGCCAGGAAATCTGGCCAACTACAACCGGTGACCTAGGCATGGCTTACGCTTGTGGGAATGTAAACACTTACGGCCCATGCATGCCTTGTTTTTGTGGCAACGTGTGAGGGCATGACAGTAAGATATTATCGGACGAGCTGTCACGAGCGGACAACGGGCAACACATATAAATACACAAAATTAATTACAAAATTCTAGACCAAATTCAGCCAGTCTCAAAAAAATAATGTAAGGCACATTTACCAAGGCTTGTAGTGTAAACAGGACTTTAGTCAAAGCTGCTAAAGCTACCGCTGATGCGCAGGATATAACCGTCGTGGGAACAGACTATAAACTCACAAAGTCTTTGGTAGTGTGTGAATGGGCGACTTTTTTGTCGGAATACGATGTGTTATCATACATTTAATTATAACATTTCCTTTAATTAATTGCCTCCGGCATAGGCTTTACATCTTGTTGCGCTCTGCCTATATGTAGTCACTTCATTTCGAACGCAAAGTTCTATTAGTTGTTTTCTCAAATCTCAATGCAAGGTTTAGATATGAGGATGGACATATATAAATATATTCTAGGGTTTGTTGAAGAATTAATATATTTCCCACACAACAATTTCAATGTAGCCTATCGCATATTTTTAGGTGTATATACCAACTGGACATATTACCTTATGGCTTATATTCCATATATAAAGTTTAATTGTGTTATCAACCCTATACAGGGTGTATCAAAAAAAACTGAACAGATTTAAAATTGCTCTCAATTTCGCAAAACAGCTATTTGTATCCGGTTTTTTATATATATAGCCTCTTTGGCTACTTATAATGTACTATAATGAGAAAAATTTCTCGAACTCAAATTTTGTGAACCAGGGGGGGGTGTCTTTTCCAACAAACTAAAAATGGCTCGCGCACAAAATTTAAAAGCTGCAATCATATTTTGAGTTAACAGATAGAAAATTTGTCGGGATTTTAATTACTGTACAAAATTTCAGACAATTTGGTTTAGTTTAAGCTCCTTAACTATTCACGCAAAGTTACAATTTTCCCGAAAAATCAGCTATTTGCATGCTTAATTAATGCATTTGCCTAATTTGCATATGTCAGCAATATGCAAATTAGGTAAAGGTATTAATTAAGCATGCGAAAGGCTGACTTTTTAGAACAAAATGAATAGTTAAAGGGCTTAAACTAAACCAAATTGTCTGAAATTTTGTACAGTAATTAAACACCCGACAAATTTTCAATCTATTAACTCAAAATATGATTACAGCTTTTAAATTTTGTGCGCGAGCCATTTTTATTTTGTTGGAAAAGACACACCCCCCTGGTTCACAAAATTTGAGTTTGAGAATTTTTTTTCATAATTCTACATTATAAGTACCCAAAGAAGCTATATATATAAAAAACTGGATACAAATAGGTGTTTTGCGAAATTGAGAGCAATTTCAAATCTGTTCAGTTTTTTTTGATACACCCGGTATATATATATATATATATATATATATATATATATATATATATATATATATATATATATATATATATATATATATATATATATATATATATATATATATATATATATATATATAATCAAGTTTAGATTAGGGTTAGATTAAGATTATATTAGGGTAAGGGGTTATAGAGTTGGGGTTAGATTAGGGTTAGGTTCATCTATCCCACTAAGTTATTGCGCGAATTTATGGTATTAATAAATTCGGACGTGTTTAACAATGTACTCAAATAGTAAATTCAAAGGTCGAGCTCATGTATGCTGATGAATTCAAATTGCATTTTTATCCTTCATTCATGCGCGCAAGCCATTTTAAAAGTGGTTTTAAAAACAACCCTCCTACTCTCCAAAATTTACTTTTCAAAGTTTTAGTGGTAAAATACTAGCAGACGCCAAACTATACCCATGCTTGTATAAATTTTTCACAAATGTTTCGGAATTTGCAGTTTTGCAGACATTTTAGCGAACTGTACAGAACTGTACGAGTGTAGAGTCAGGGGCGGATCTAGGGGTCGTCAAATCAGTCACGCGACTGAAGTAAAAAAAAATTCAACTCCAGCTATCTATAGTGACCAGTAGATCGAGTTACTAAATTTTGAATCGTACCGGTAGTCCAGTTATACATTTCATGCTGCGGCAGAACTTCGGCAAAGTAATGTTAGTCAGTCACGAACAGCGGTCTTACGCATGAAAGTTGACGGATTCGGGGGTTAAATCCGGCTATCTGATTGGTTGACACGCTCATTTCCATGGTTACGACCATTTGCGACGGATCTGTGGGGAGGCCTGACGGATTCGCAGGTTCAGGGGCTCTGTATGAGCCTTCTGATTGAACCATTTAAAAAAATTCTGCGGTGTCATTGGCTTATATTTTCGACGGATTCGCAGCGTGAGGTATTCATCAACACGGCATTAGTGATAGTGTATAGTGTTTACCTGTGTTTACTATTTCGAACGTCAATCTGAGGAATTTTACTATTTTTACGAGCGATTTCTACCAGCGATATCTGGAAACATTTTCAACAATATTCTTGCAGTTTGCAATTGCGGCAAACGATTTGGATTCTCTACATTCTCTACAACGTTTGTATACGGAGCTTGAAAAGAATATCGATGCCTCACGGACGGATTTTGTTGAGAAGCTACTGAGCGGCGCCATCAACAGCACAAGCAGAAGCCTCGCTAGAAATTTTGGCGCAGAGAGCTACTGCTAGAGAAACACAAAGCTTACACTGCAATAAGGTAGATAAATTTATGGTTTTATAGTTTATATTAAACCGGAGTATCGAGCCATCGGTGTTGTTAATGATTGTCTGACATATGATATTTTAATATATTCGCTATGCTGTATTGCTCTATTAGCATAATTCTCGCGAGAAGCTAAAATATGTTTATAATATTCCATGTCCACATTGTAAGCATTTGTTGATTCTCATGTTAGTGAAGTTTTATTTAAAATTTCTTTATATTTATGCATTAATCACACAACATGTACGCCTTAAGAGTATTGTTTATCCATAGCCTATCGACATGGCTTGTTAGACCGCATTGGTCTGGTGTAACATGATAATGTGAAATATTTAATAAGGTAGCTTGAAAAGCTCATTGGCTGGTAGCCATTCTGATGTTACTCGTTTATTAATACTACAGTGAGACTTTATTAATAGTAAGAGTTTATTAATATCTGACTTAACATCTTTAATTTAGTTAATGAATATCTGGTTGTTTTTTTAGAGCTCAGGCTACTGGCAATTATTTGTATAGTTTGTTTTTGGTAACAGAACAGTATATTTCCTTAATACATTTACTGCCATATGACTTTAGAAGTTTTACAATTATATATATATAGTACCAATATGACGACGATTCATTAATCCACAGGCAAAAATGTTAAATTGCTGCTGAGTTTTAAAGTATTAAATAATTGCAACATATCTATAAAATTTTGTATTGAAATAGCATCAATATATCTTTGTGCATTTGTAGTTTTTCTTACCGTGGATAATAATCAAATGTTCGTTTGAGTTTATCAATTTAATCTAAATATGTTTTATAATTTGGTTAATTAGGATTTAGGTTAATAGGTGGGGGGGGGGACCAAATCGTATTTTACGTACGGAAAATTCTAAAAATCCAGTGGCGGACTATCAGCATAAAAATATAGTGCCCCCCCCCGATTGGAGTCGACCACGCCCAGCGCCGGTAACGCCCCGTCCGCCAATTTTTTTTTTGACTGAGGTACGAAAAATCCTAGATCCGCCCCTGTGTAGAGTGTAGAGGTGGAAATGATGCTGCGGCTAAGACAGCGTGCGCATGCACATGCACTGGCCAGAAAAGTCATAGTCTCCCAGAAAGGTCTTTTATTTTTTTAAAAATCCATAAAATTGCTTTAAAATGCAATGCTTATATTCTCGCTTGATTAATCTAGATCTATACTAAAATCTCTATAATTCGTATACGGCATGAAGTGCATCTTATACACAGTGCATGCGCATAACGTTGCATCATTATGTATATTATTTCCCCAAGGTTGGCAAGAAAATACTGATCTAACGCTGTGCATAAAAACTAAATGACGAAAAACTCGTACATCAGTAAACATCGAAATCATTACAAAAACGACTATGATCAGTCAAACATAACTTCAACACTCTCACACTGTATTTTTGTTCTTTCACCACATTAAAACGGGTGAATTTTGCGAAAATTCATCAAATTTTTTACTCAATTTAGTCAAATTTTTCAAACTATGCGGGATGACAGCTGCCGTCCCGACTTCACAAAATAAAGGTATCTGATTGGCCAAGATTTCAGCCAGCCTTCAGCGAGCGATCAGCTTTATCTTGTGCTTTATCTTTCCCAGCCTAAACATCAATATCGTCAAACAAATTTTCCCTCAAAGAATTTTCGAAGCGGTCGCTAACGGAGGATTCCGAAACCAAGAACAACCACAGACAATACAGATACAAGAGCAAGCCAAATCAACCCGACATACAAAGTGAAACCTTTCCAATCAAAGTCAGAGTTACAGCTCGGAGAAACGGAGTCCTTGGAAGCTTACCTACAATTGGTCAACCGCACCTTGGACCAGTTTGGAACCCTCGTTTAGGCGCAATCCAACGGACAAGTGATAATTATACCTCTCAGAGAAGTGTAAATTTTAATAATTTACTGCAGATTAACATTAAAACTAATACCCCCCCCCCTCCCATTGGAAAGTCCTCAGTTCCGTCCTTCCTCTTGTTTAATGTATGCCAATATAACAAATAAGGTAGACGAATTAGCTGCTGTTGTATAGATCTATGACCCATCCGTGGTAATGATAACAGAATCTTGGCTAAATGATGATATCGGTGATGCCTCGGTTAAGATCGGTAATATAAATACAACATATTTCGTCGCGATAAAAAGTCTCCCGGTAATCGCCTATGTGAATAATTGTTTACCAGCAGAGCGTATATGACTCACCTCGAAGAAGAAAACAAAGAAGTGATATGGTTGTTGTTAAAACCCCCCAGAACCCCTAGACCTTACAGTACAATCGTTGCTGCTGTTGTGTACTACCCCCTGGTCAATCCGCCGAACAAGCAATCGATATGAATGAATACTTAACTACTTGTATAGTTAGTCTCTTGCGCGAACGTCCTTCATCTGGAATTGTTATAGCTGGGGACTTCAATCAACTAAAATTAAGAGAACTATGTAACAGATTTAATTTAAAAAGATCTGTAACTAAACCGACTAGAGGACACAACATTATTGATCAAATCCTTACAAATATGCTCCCTCTCTTTGACACTGTTAGCCATCTTCCACCAATCGGACACTCCGACCACCAATGTCTTCTAATCAAGCCCAGTAAAAGACAGAA